AACCAGTCTGATATTCCCAGCAGCCTCCTGACTCCAGAGAAGTCTGTCTCCTGCCTCCCCGGCCAGATGGCACCAGCAGGCCACCTGGACCCAGCCCACAATCCTGGGCCACAGGGACTGCACGCCTCCAACCCTGGGCCACAGCTGCTCCATCAGAATCCTCCCCAACCATCCCGCCTACTGCTGGGCCAACCAAGCTCAGGTCCTAGCAGTGAGTTGGCCTATAACCCCACCACTGGTGCGATGGGGCCCACCAGCATGTCTGTAGCTGGAGAAGCCCCGGAGCCAGCTCTGGGTCTGCTCCCAGAACTGACCAACCCCGATGAGCTAATGTCGTATCTGGGCCCTCTGGGCCTGCCCACCAACAGCAATGATGACCTGTTGTCCCTCTTTGAGAACTGACCTGTGGTAACCCTGCTCAGCTGGGTTAGGCTGCCTTCATGCCACCTACCACCCCTTCACATGTGCAGCTGCCTGACCCAAGCCTTGGAAGGGGAAGTGGTCCTGGGGACAGTCGGGGCTGCCAGTGGGGCAGCCAGACCCTTCCCACCCTACCACCAAGGTCCCTGCTCCGAAAACGGTTTTGTTGCAGTGCTTGCCCTGGCCCCACCTTGTCCTTCCACCGATGCCTGCTACTACCCACTCTGCATTTTATCCCAGTGTTGACCCTTCTGTTGTGATTCCTTCATGACTCGGACAGAGCCCGCCATCCACCAGGCCTGTGGGCTCCGATGGCTCCTTGGAAGCCTCTGGAAATGGGAGCTTCATCTAGAACCATGCATACTGGCCTCCTAGAGGGCCCGGCTCTTCGACTCCATCGCATTTGTGGTATCTTGGCCACTCGGCGCGACCTTAAGCTTTCAGGCCAGAGGCTTAAGGGTGGGGAGAAAGGGATTCAAGCACAACAGTGTACATAATAGTGTGGAAACACTAAAGGCTGGAGGAAAGCTAGCTGGAGCCCAGATGCCTGTGTGCTCTCTGCTCCTTTGGGCAGACAGCGGGGGAGGGACCCAGGCTCCAGTCCTGGTCTGGGGGTGGGGTCTCTGCTCTCTTTCCAAGTCCCCTTTTCCAAGAAAGTGAAGAATTAGTACCTCCCTGTTTTTTTAAAACCATCTTTCCTGAGTCCACCCTGTGGGCTAGAACCCAGGGTGGGGAGCGGATAGCCATTACATCCTGTTGGCCTGGGGCCCACGAGCCTGCCTGTGAACCAGGCGCCTGTTCTGTCTCCTGTCTATATCGACCTCTATTAAAGGACTCCATTGTGTGGGAAAAAAAAAAAAAAAATTCTCCCCTAACTAAATTCTGTGGTCAAATACTTCTGGTAAGCAATGCTTCTAGCTCCCTTTTGTGATTCAAAACAAAAAATCTGCAGCCTTTGAGAGTGGAAATAAAACGACCATCTGAATGTTATTTCTTAAACTTTAAAAATAATCAAAGTATTAAAAAAAGAAAAACCAGAAATTTCTTCTCAGGCTTTTTTGTTGTGTCCTCCTTACACATTACGTGTGTTTCTGTCTTACTATTATGATTTTATCCTTACCACTTTAGTGATCTTGTTTTTTATTGTTTCCTTGTGGGAAACAGAAGGATTTCTCCCAAGTTGTCTCCCCCAAATAAATGCCAAACTTAGCTGCTTGCTACATGTGGCTAATGACTATACACTTGGAGGTTGAAAGAAGTAGGTCAGGGGTTATTCTCCCTAAGGGTTATCAGCCATCTAGAGCAGTCACCACTGTTTATCCCACAAGTAGGACCCCCTCCCTTCTGATAAGGATAGTAGTTGTCTGTTTCCTTGTAGGAGACCCCAGAGAGCTCAAGCCCACTCAAGGGTGACCAAGGTTAGGCCACCATCATTAAGCTAGGGTCCGCCCATCTTGTTATATGTATACCCCTAGTCCCTCCCCTTCCTATCATGTGTACACCCCTAGCTCATCCTCTTCCTGTTACACCTATACCATTATATATCCCCCTCCTATTATTGCTTGTATGCCTATTGTACTGCCCCTTCCTGTGACATGTGGTTACCTGTAATCACACCCCCTTCAGTAGATATAACCCTTGGTTAGCAATAAATGGGGTATCTAGCCTCCTGCCGGCTGTCTCTGCCCCACCTTGCCTCGGTGCACTCTGTGTGCAGACCAGCCTGGTAAGATCATGGCCATCCAGGAGGTGAGCATGCTACCATGAAATGTGTCTGACTTATCTCTCACGCTCTCTATGACTTTATTATAATCTTTATATATATCAACTGTGTAATTGCACTTACTGAACCCGTGCTTAGTTGTGGGGGGCTGGCATTGTCCCCCACATTTTCTGTTGCATTGAAGCACAGGAGGAGTGGAAGCATAATGAGAATAACTAATACAAGGGAGTGCAGGGGTGGGCGATAGGGAGGGGAAAGGGGATTTCAGGAGTAAATAATGAAGGTGGGAGGGGCGAGGGAGTAATAGAACTGATTGTGAATTGCACCAGTCATTTTAAAGGTGATTTAACCATGGGGGTTGGGGGGCAAGATCTAAGATCAATGTGGTGGTGACTGTACAGTGCCCCTTGTATGATATGTAAATTATGTACCAATAAAACTGTTGGGGGAAAAAGACAATGGAAAGAGAAAAAATAAAGCTGAATTACTTGTTTATCTCTTTCTCTACCATTCAGGAAACTCAGAACGAAATTTAATTCTCAATTATGGCCATTATGTTAATGGCCTTCCCATATCTGAAACCCCTCCTAGGACTTCCCAATTCTATTTTAACCTTTATCCTTCAGCCTTACTGAATATGGGTTAAACCAAAACTCACTGCTATTGAGTCAATACTGACTGATTCTGTCACCCCCTGTGGGTTTCTGAAACTCTATTTATGGGAGTAGAAAGCCCAGTCTTTCCTATGGAGTGGCTGGTGGTTTTGAACTGCTAACCATCTGGATCGCAGCCAGATGGGTAACCATTATACCACCAGGGTAAAAGAGAACTGAGAGCAGGGACTCAGGCAGACTCTTGTATTCCAGTGCTCATTTCAGCACTCTTTGATTCTACTCTTCAGAAGTGACAGAGAGCATCTTGGAAGTGAATGTGCTTACAGAAGAAATACATACTAACTAGGAAGGTCAAGGATATCCTTGGTATGTCACAATGAGGGGCTAGGGAACCAAGAAGAACCAATATAAAGGGATTGAGAAAGAACACTCCAAGAGGTAGAAGGAGAAGTGGGAAAGCATAAACTCCAGATCATTACTCAGGGGTTGGGGGTCAAAATACTGACTACCGAGAAGACCTGGGAACCAGATTTCCTGCTCTCAGAAAGTTCATGGGTTCCCCACATGCTGTGTTTTCTTTTTTTATGTCCATGAAGATTTGAGCTCACTCTGAAGGCTTTCCCACACTCTTCACATTCATAAGGTTTCTCTCCAGTGTGAACTCTCTGATGTCCAATTAGAGCTGAGCACTGACGGAAGGTCATGCCACACTCATTGCAGGTGTATGGCTTCTCACCAGTGTGGATTCTCTCGTGCTGCTTCAGCACTGAACTGTGGTGGAAGGTCTTTCCACACATCTCACATTTGTAAGGCTTCTCTCCTGTGTGGATTCTTTGATGACTGGTCAAGTTTGATTTCCCACTGAAAGCCTTCCCACACCTCAAACATTTATAAGGTTTCTCTCCAGTGTGGATTCTTTGATGGACGGTGAGACAGTATCGATCCTGGAATGTTTTCCCACAATCCCCACATTGATAGGGCTTCTCTCCAGTGTGTTCTTGTTCATGCGCCCTGCGTTTACAGTTATGACGAAAGGCTTTGCCACATAAGTTACACTTGTAAGGCTTCTCGTCAGAGTGGATTCTTTTATGTTTTGTGAGCTCTGCCTTGACACTGAATGCTTTCTCACACTGCAGGCAACCATAGTTTTTCTCCCGAGTGTGGATTCTCTTGTGTTTGCTTAGGTCTGAGCTCCGAATAAAAGCCCTTCCACACTGGTTGCACCCATATGGTCTTTCACCAGTGTGAATTCTTTTGTGCTTGGAGAGGTCTGAGCTCCCGCTGAAGGCCTTCCCACACTCCTCACATCCATACGGTTTCTCTCCAGTGTGGATCCTGCCATGCGTGGTAAGGGAATGCCTAAACTGGAAGGCCTTACCACAGTCATTACATTCATAAGGCTTCTCTCCACTGTGGATGATCTGATGCATATTGAGACGGTTCTTGGTCTTGAAGGCTTTCCCACAATCACTGCAAGCATGAAGCTTCTCTCCACTGTGGATATTTTTATGTCGGCAAAGAGCTGATCTACTATTGAAGGCCTTCCCACACTGGGTGCAGTCAAAGGGCTTTTCCCCCGTATGGATTATCTGATGCATACACACCTGACTCCTGGTTTTGAATGCTTTCCCACACTCATTACATGTGTAAGGTTTTTCACCAGAATGAATTCGCTCATGGAGAATTAGGTCTGAATGCCAGCTGAAGTCTGTGCCACATTTGGCACAGTCATAGAGTCTCTGTTCTGTAGGAACTCTGTCGTATGGGATGCATATTGAATTTAGATTGGTGTTTTTTTTCAGTGGTTTCTGGTTCTTTCCTTTCTTGACATTCACATCCTCAGAACCTCCTCTCTCTTTTCTCAGTTTCTCCATCATGGGCGTTTTCCATTGATTTTCTAATTTGGCATTCTGCACACCAATTTCTCCAAGCCCAGGACCTTGGGAAACAACTTTTAGGCGACTTTTAACTTTTATCCAGCCAACATCTCCATTTTCAAAAACATCTTGTTTTGAATGTGCCTTCTGAATCTCAGGCCACGTCTTGTCAGTTGCCACTTAAGAGAGAAAATAAAAGTGTAAGACACTGGTTCTCAACCTTCCTAATGCAGCGACCCTTGAATACAGTTCCTCATGTTGTGGTGCTCCCTAACCATAAAATTATTTTTGTTGCTACTTCGTAACTGTAATTTTGCTACTGTTATGAATCGGGAAACCCCTGTGAAAGGGTCGTTTGACCCCCAAAGGGGTCGCGACCCACGGTTTGAGAACTGCTGGTGTAAGATATTCAGAAGAAAGGATGTAAGTGAAACGGATGTGGTGAAAAGTGAATGACTTTTCCATGTTCTAAAGATTGCTAACCTTATATTTAAGGGTGAGAATAGGTGGAAGTAATAAAAAAGTTCCAATATATTTCAAACTTAACAAACTTGATACAAAATCTTTATAAATCTCTTCTACACACTCCTAGTTTAATGAACGGCAGTTCTGTACATTTAATCATCAGACAGGAAGCTAGTAATCATCTCCAATCCCTTCTCCCCATCCTATTTGCTCAGCTAAAATTTTACAAATTTTATCAGTGGAATGAGCTAGAGAACTTGTTGAAGTGTCAGTATAGAACCTCTTTCAGTCTGTCTATAGGTCCAGGAAAACCATATTTCTGTGATGTGATTCTGCTCATCTGGGTAGATAAGGGGAACAACTGGTCCTAACCTGGCCAGGTTTTCTTTTTGGCCTTTGGAATTGTGATTGAAAAGAAGGTAAGGCAAGGCTCTGAGAGTAGGTAAGTATTTAGTATTTCATTCTAAGAACTAGTAGTCATACAGTAGGAGCCCTGGTGGAATAGTTTACCTGTAGTATACTATTACCTAATAGTGCTAACCTCAAGGTCTGAAGTTTAAAACCACCAGCTAATCTGAGGGAGAAAGCAAGGGAGAAAGCTCTTCTACTCCCATGAAGAGCTACTGTCTCAGAAACCCACAGGGACAGTTCTATCCTGTCCTACAGGGTTGCCATCAGTCAGAATTGGTTGGTGTTTTATTGTGGTAGGGTAGTATTTGGTGCAGAGAAGGGAATGTTTTACCATTTTGTCTGAGGGGCAGAGATGGTTAATTTACCAATAAAGAATACAGCAGACCCACAGAGAAGACAATTAGAGAGAAGACCCTCATGGCATCCGAGGTCCTTCTTGTGCCTTTAGTATACCTGCTTTTGGGATCCACTGCACATCTCTGAATCAATCTATCTATCTATCAATCTGCTACTTTAAATTAACTTCCTTTTTTTTTTTTTTGGCAACTAGAGAGCCCAAATCAACTTTTTAATTATCTCTTTACTCTCTACTCTTTTCCCTCCATTTCCACTGCCAGAGCAGTCCCACTAGCTAACTGCAGTACTTTACCAAGCATGATGTCCTTCTCCATGTTATCTCCATGATAACATGCCAAACTGACTGCCCTTTAGTCTCATTCCTCGCTAAATCATCCTCTATACTGTTTGCAGGTTAATTTTTCCCCCTGAAAATTAGATCTATGTCATCCCTTAGCTTAAAATACATCAACGGCACTATATAAATAATCAGATAGGAAGAATATGAAGTGTAAGGTTAAGAGCTCTGCCTCTGGATTGAAATCCTGTCTTTCCTACTAGACTTTAAGCTTCCTGAGGGCAAAGCCGATATCTTATTTGACTCTATATTCCTTGATGGTGCTTGGTATCTCTGGTCACTCAGTGGTTTTTTAAGGATGGAAAGAAAGGAGGAGCAGTGAGTACTGCAATTGGGCAGTTGAAATGGGCATGTCAATAATTGAGAAATCTTTTAGAGAACAAGTTCAGAAAATTCTCTGAATAAAGAACTGGTAATATTTCACGACAGACTAGTCAAGAGAATCAGGGGGAACAGAAAGGCAAAGTGAGAAGAAGGTAGAACAAGAGATAAAATGTGGTAACCGTCTTATTGGAAATGATGAGTTTTGCTTTAGATATGTTGCTTTTCAAATGACAATGGGTTATTCAAATAAAAACCAGGAGTTAGAGTAGCATGAGTCTGATATGCATGAAAGGGCAGAAATGAGTGTCACCAAAGTTTATCTGCATCAGTGATGATAGTTGAAGTCATAAGGAAACATTAACTTCACTATGTTGTTGTTGTTGTTGTTGTTGTTGTTAGGCGCCATAGAGTTGGTTCTGACTCGTATTCTATGAACAAGAGAACAAACCACTGTTCCATCGTCACAATTGTTGTTATGTTTGAGTTGATTGGCAGTCACTGTATCAATCCATCTCATCGAAAACCTCTTTTTTTGCTGCTCTTCCACTTTACCAAGCATGATGTCCTTCTCTAGGGACTGTTCTCTCTGATAACATGCCCAAAGGATGCGATATGAAGCTTTGCCTTCTAAGATTCTAAAGGGCATTCTAGCTGCACTTTCCCCAAGACATTTCACAAGAGGAGAGCACATGGAAAGATAAGGACTGAAGATCTAGGATTCAAAACAAGGAAGGAAAGGAAAGACATAGTTCTTCTAGCTATTTCTCTGTAACTCGCACCAAATGATCGAGAGGGACCATGTAAATAAGGTCTGTGAAACATTACAGGGCTGGGGTGGGGGTGGGATTGGTCGGTTTTGGTTGTCATTTCCCTGTGTAAGAGAATTATCTCAAAAAAAGGAAGAGAGAATCCGTGATCATCAAGGAAGAGCCTCTAG